CTTTAAGACAACTCTTTCAGAGTCTGTTTATAATCTTTATTGTTTTCTTTTGGCCACCCTGCACAATATGCTGTTATGATAGTGACTACACAAGAAAAGCAAAGAAAAAGTAGAAGAAAAAAGTGACACAATTCTGCAGGTCAAGTGCTAGAGGGCATGCATTTCTTGCATTTGAATTTAGTTCTTACATTCACTTGTAGTGAATGTAAGCAATAGAGCCTTTACTTGGTCCAGCAGTAGCCTATATATCTTTTGTTTTTGTCTTTCTGTTGTGTATTGCCATAAAGCTATAATGTACTTTGTTGTCTTCTCTGTGGTGCCTGGTAAGGATTCACATTTTCTCCTAAACAATGTATAATTTAGCAGTTTTCACAGTACATAGCTCTAGCCTGGAAAGCATAACCAAAAAAACAAACAAAACAAAAAGCCTGAACTATATTCTAACGCTGGCTAAATCACTTCCTACTAAATTATTTTTGGGGAAGTCTGATGGCTATAATCCTCAATTCCAATAAATGTTGTGTTTCAGTTCTGGGAAACTGATCTATTCGTGTTCCAAAATCCACCAGTGAGATCCCAAATGACGGAGACCAGAGAAAATAAACACAAACTCAAACATCAGTTTTATTTTCCAAATATACAGAGCAAAAGCATCATAGATTCACAGACCAGTACTGTTAAAATACAACTGTTTTTTTTTTCTCTTTACAGATAGATGACAGCCACTGCCTAAAATAATGGTTGACCCGAAAGAATTTACACCTTGTCTTCTCGTCATCAAGTTGCTGTATGTGCATTGTTGCTATTTATAACATTCTTAAAATGACCCTCTAAAGCAGCGGTGGTTCTTGGTTGAATGGACAAGTTCGTCCTTCTGTGCCATTCACAATCCCCCTCAGGTCTTTCCTGTGTTTTCAAGATTGGAGTAAAGTTTTCATACATCCCTCACTTTAAAGTCCAGTCATTTAAAAGTTCTGAACAAGAGCTAATCAAATAGACCAAATTTCAAATAGACCTCAGTTGGTTGAAGCATTGACTGAGCATGCAATGCAAACTTAAGAAGATATCTGCTGCTCAGTGGACATAACTGTTTAATTTTGATCAGCAAAGCTGCCCCCAAATACCATGACAACCTGGGAGGTAAGCCATGTCATCAAGATTAGAAGCCTCCACTGCTCTATGGAATGTTCATGGTAAAAAGAAAGTACACCCCCTTTAAATTACAGGGTTTTATGTATTAAGTACATAGCTTCGGTACATAGCTTTTCGCCTTCATATTTTGTCTTCAGTTTTGTTTAATAAATAACACATGGCAATTCTTTCAGAACCTGGCTCAAACCAGGTCACAAGCCACAACCTTAGAACTGACAGATGTCCTGCTGACTTTTTACCATGACCGTATTTACTAACCCTTTATCTGACCTTGGGTCATGTTGCCAGTGAAACCTCTTGCCGTCATCAGGAGAACAAAACAACTCAGCCAACCTCAGAGAACTGGAACAATTGGCTTTCAGATGCTTTTTTTTTTTTCTGTTGTTCTTTCAGTTTTCAATCTAAACCCAAATAATTTTAGAAGCGGTCTGAAGACTAAAACAGAAACTCGAGGATTAACTGAAGATACTATTTTAGTTTTGGTCTTACGCCTGCATTTTGTCACAGTACTAACAAGGTATTGATTGGTAGGAAAGGAAAAACAGAGAGAAAAAGACAGAAAGCATTTACAAGTTATAAAAGGTTTATGAAGATCAGCTCAATGTCTCAAATGGCACCTGCTTTAATGGGCTTTGCCATAGATATTAACAACTATCATACACAAGGGGAGAGCATAGATGATGGGATTCGGTTTGCAATTGATGGCAAGATATTGACCACCGGAATGCTCTGTGTGTCTTTTTGCATTGTGTCTAGTTTATTCAGACTGAGCAAAACTGGTGGTGCCGTCAACACTTTGCCCTGCTAATGAGCTCAGGCTTAGAGACTTGTCCTTAGCATACCTGAATAAAGGACTATCCTGCATCCTACTCTCTAAGAGGTGCGTCTTGTTTTATCACAAAAGGGCAGCAACCTCTTGTAATTGTTCTGGGTCTCTGTGTGAAATCATCTGTTATGCCCTGGCATCTGTCTGCCGCTCGCAGCCAGGCAAACAGGCAGCACCAGCTGGTGAGCTGACCACAGGTGAACGGGGCACAAGTTTCCCAACATGGACTTCGGTTCCCAGGGACCAACATGGCACTCAAATCCTGTAGTACTTCTGTGCCCGCCGTAGCTGTTATGCCCATCATTCAGGGGTGAACGAGACAGAAGGCAGGCCAATCAAATATTTATCTGTTTGCAGTGCAGGAGATTCGCTGGACTGGAAAAATGTATTGGGCTTGGATCAGTACAGAAGCTGCAGTTCATAGAGGATGGGCACAGTTTTCCTGTTCAGAAGCTGAAGGTTGCTAAAAATCTGGGCTCTGATAACTTTTGTAAAGGAATGTTACAAAAGAATTCATAATATGTACAGGTAATATAGACTAAAGCCACGTGTGTCAAAAAAAAAAAAAAGATACAGCGTGCAGTTCAATTCAGTTACCGCAGTTTTAGTGTTCCTATACATTGTTGTGGTCAAAATGTCATACTTTTTCAGACTTTAATTTCCTGAGGTTTTACATAAATATTTGCCAATTTTTGAAATTTTGTAAATGTTCACTATGGATGTACTGAATAGATTTCTAATTTGGAACCTGCAAGATGGATGGATGGATGGATGGAAACATTTAGGTAGGTAAAGGAGATGGGAATAATGCCAGTTTCATTGTTTCATACCGGTCCAAGCCTGGAAAAAAAAAAAAAAAAAACTCAATATTTTCTTCATTCTGTTTAGGAACCCTGTTAAATCTAATTACTACTAATAAAAAAAACTATCTTGCACTCATAAAAACTAAGAAAACTTTATAGCAAAAAAAAAAATAAAATAAAATGAAATGACAGACATTCTTGACAGTCATCACTGTGCTGAATGCAATACATTGCTAAGCATTTGGGGATCTTTCCCATCGGCTGACAGAATAATAACCTCTTACTGCTTCTCACTTTAAAGCTGTCCCTGGCTAAGATCATCTCAGAGCCTCAGAGTGTTGGTTCTCCTGGTGAGATCTTTCGGAAAGAGAAAGCAGCTCCTGCGAGCTGTCAGAGTAATTTGTGAAAAATAGGCAGGCTTCATGAAATTTTTGGAAAGGAAACAAAGAGAACATTATTGTCTCTCTGTATAATTTTGATACCATATGTTTGTTTGTCTCTGCAGCTAATGTGCTGTTGAGAAATCTGAGAAAAAGAAATGAAAACCAGGAAAAAGAAAAAAAATATATATAAATATATACAGAGAAAGACAGTATTACAGATTTATATACAGTCTGCTAAGTACCAAGCAGGATTATCAGCATTGAAACAGAGCTTTTTGTCTTAAGCTATACAATGGGCACCAATCCATTTGTAAAATTAGTCCAAACCTCTGCCTCTCAAGTGGAAAAACCCCATTCAAATACCTTGAATATGATCATGTGTAAAGTGCTTACAACAACAACTTGCTTCTGTTCAAATACAGAGCTTGGTGATTCATGAACTGGAAGTTTCAAGCTCACACAGGATCCTCCAAGTGAACTGCCTCCAGCAGTGCAAACTAAGTAAAACAAAAACCACTGAATCAGATAGGACATTCTGCAATCCGTCTATGCTCTGTGGTGTATTTTTTAAATGTAATTTTAAAGAAAATATAATCAGCCAAAGTGTTCCAGCTTTATGATAGTATTTGTCGTTCCAGGAATCCCAGGAGTTTATCTCTCAAAATATTGAGATAATTAAAGCAAATGTAATTCCAAAGTAAAACCAGAGTAAAACTCTGAAATGCAGGAAAACATGAAGGGTTGTATGTTGGTATCATATATGATGTACTACACAATACACAGTGCCTCACAAAAGAAAAAAATATTCATACCCCTTGAACTTTTCTGTCGCGTTATGAAAAACTACCTTTGCTGCATTTCATTGGGCTTCTATATCATAGACCAGCACACATCAGTATGTAACTGTAAAATATTCTTAAAATAAAATAATGTGCAATCAATTCCAATCAGAAGTCACCTACTTATTACATATACTCCAACTATGTGTGATTTAGTTGCAGAATAAATCCACCTGTTCTGTGAAGGCCTCAGATGTTAGTGGGAAAAAAAACAAAACACCATCATCAAGTCCAAGAAACACAGCGAACTTGTCAGTGGTCAAATTGGGGAATGTATTCAAGGAGTATTAGGTTCTACAGCAATATCACAAGCTTTGAAAATCTTGAAGACCATTGTCCATTTCACCGTCCAGAAATAGAATGAGTAGGGCTTTCCAGCTAACAAGCCAAGCAATGACGGCATTAATCAGAGAAGTGAGCATGAGGTAATTTTGAGGGAGTTAGGAGTATGTCAACAGGACTATCATTAGTCCTGCACTCTACAAATTTGGTCTGTATGGAAGGGTGAAAGCATAAAAGTCCAATTTGCAATTTCCCACTAGCCATGTAGAGGAAGAATCTGCCAAGATGAAACGAAAGCTTAATTTTGTGGCCTTTATACTTTATGTGTAAAGGAAAACAAACACTGCATATTGCCCTGAATATGAAAATATGATGGAAGCTGATCAGAAATGATGGGAAGATAGATAGCATAAAATACATACATCCTTTTTGTTCTGCTTCATATTCACTTTTACTATGTGATGGTCTATCACCTGAAATCCCAATAAAATACATTAAAGCCAATAGTTGTAAAAATCGACATATAACTGCTAAAGTGGTGTAAACATTTTTGGAAGGTACAGTGCATGATGTCTTTTTTCTACATCTGCTTTAAAAACACAGTCAAAAAAAAATCACTTTGTTGGTACTGGTTAGAAAGAAATGGATCGAATCATTAGCTTTGGCTTATCACCTACTTGAATTCGCAGGGCTTGGTACTTAAAAAAAAAAAAAAAAAAAAAAACTCTGGACAATAGTCTGGGTTTTCCCATAAAGCCCCATAAAAAGAACAATTATGATTACAAGAAGTATTATGGTATAAAAGTTAGTGTTTAAGTGGCTAAAGGCTGAGTGCAGCATCAGCAACTGGGTACTGAACGAAACCTAATATATGTCACAGTGTGAACAGGCATTAGCTTTCCACCACCGTCTTCATAGACAACATAAAAACTGAAAATAAATAAATAAAACCATCTCTATCTGTTTGTCATGTTCGACCAGCACAATCACCAGTAGGTATACAGTCAGGATGCACTAAGCCCCAGTGTCAACAGTGATACTGACAATACTAATGGGATATTCACACAAGTAGCTAGAACATGATGTTTACTTTTTATTTATCGGTGTCGTTGATGACCTTTAGATTTAGGAGAAAAAAAAAAAAAAAACCTGACAAATGCAATGCAAGTTGTAGCTTGTGAGCTTTCCTCTTTTATGTGTCTTGGAACTAGATTTGGTATCAAAACATAATATTTGACACAGCTCCGCATAAGCTGGACAGCTGATAGTGTTTGCCTATCTCACTTTGTAAGTTAGCAATGACCCAGTTCAAACAGACCCTCAAGGCAAAACAGATATAGACATTAAGAGGCGCTTGTGTATATTTCTGCGCGATGTGGAAAATGAGTCAAAAATTTAGATGCTTGGAAAGAAATTACAGTCATGTGTGGACACTGATGTTTTATCGCGGCGTCAAAGTCGAAGCATGACTCAGAGATTTCAATTGAGGTCTTAGATCTTCTTCTTGTGAAGCTCAGATATAGAGAAAGAGGGGGAAATAGGCGTTCGTTTTAAAGTTCTCCTCCGCCTGCAACAACTTAACCTTCGCACACAGTGTGAACGGGCAAGGAGGAAGTGTTGCAAGTTATAAATTTAACAGACAGAAAATAACATGCACATTCACTGTTGTGCTTTAAACTACAAGAGGGCAGCAGGACGTTGGCTTTGTTTCATTGTCTGGCAGTTTGTGCAGAGTGCTGCGCTGAATGCTCACTTTTTCTCTGTGTCACAGTCTTCAGAAAGCAAATTTGGTCCATGCCAGCAGAGCTGATTGTCACACAAAGCCTTTGAAATCATGCTCTCTGATTCCTTAACAATCTGAATGTAGAAACCAAGTATTGCAAGTTAAATTTCAAACTTGTAGTGTCTGTATTGGCAAATAAGCTCTCAGTGGCACATCTGTATTTTGGGTCAAAAAAAAAAAGGGATAGAGGAGGATTGATGATTTAAGCATGAAGGTAATATAAGGCTTCTTGATTCATTTTTTTTGGGGACATTTTGATGTCTAAGCAGGTCACAAGGTCCATCAAGCCCAGTCGTGGTTTTAAGGGCCCTAAGGAATTTTTTTTTTTTTTTTTTTTTTACAAACACTGATACTTCAGGGGATCCTTAACAGTTTTACAATCCTGACTGCTCGTTGCTCCTCATCCAAACACCCTCCCTCTCTAGCGGTCAGACGTGGGTCTGCATCCGCTTCTGGAGGGGTCGGGTGAGGTCCGAGTTCTGTGAGGACGACTGGGAGTAGTGGGAAGAGGAAGAGGCGGACGCCTTGCTGTCTTTATCAAACTGCACATAGCCGTCCGGCTTACTGTAGCTGCTGATGCTGCTGTCGCACTGCGTGTCAATGAAAGAGCTGGAGTCGCTGAGCGAGCCACGCTGGAACTCCCGCTCGCAGAGCTCGATGGAGCTGCTGCCCATGCCAAGCACAAAGCGCTGGCCATAGTCGTACAGGCGGTTGGGGCCTGCCCCCAGCGTGGAGTAGATGTTGGTGAAGGACATGCCTGTTGGCACTCGCTGCTTGCCGAGGGTGCCGGTGTTGGTGGAGTTCCTCACCTCGGCGGTCTGATTCCCCGTCATGGTCGGCGTGTGGTGCTCTTTGAAGGTGTTGACACTGTAATAGCCATTTGTAGGGTCCTGTTGAAGACAAGAAAGATAATACAGATGACAGGTGAGAGGACAGTTGTTTGCTCGAATGTTCAGTTCCAGTCGTCATACCGTTATATTCAATAAATTAGAAAGTGTCAGATGAAAAGCATCTTTGAAAACAACAACTGTTTTAAGAAGGTATTGAACGTACTTTTCATCAAGCTTGAGTTTCTGTAGAAAACGTTTTTTTTTTATTGGTCTGATATATCCTAATGGTTTTATTAGTGGTGAGTGGAAAATTATAATCAACAGAAATAAAGGCTTGAAAACATCGGCTTTTGTAAAAGTATTCTATATGCCAGCAATGTGTTTCACTTAATAAACTGAAGTACTGAAATAAATCCACTTTTCAATCATCTTCGTGTCATTGAAGGTAGAAGACCATTTATTTCCGCTTGATTCTCATCTCCCTTCAGCGATCCGTCTGGGATTTGTCCCATTGAGTTCGATTTCTCAAGATGCATTTCATCAAGTAGTGAACAGAAGGAAGAGTTGCGAACAATAATGATAATTTTCTGTGCTGTTTTAGAGTTGTAGACTCCCTGCGGTTTTAGTTTGGCAATGGCAGAGGAGGAAGTGAATAAAGCCAATGAGTCCATGTTGGCCAGACTTACAAATACTGAGCAATAAAAGTTGAGACAAGAGCAATATTTAAGGCATTTTATTGCTGGCAAAGATGTTGTGACCCTACTCCCAACAGGCTTATTTACAGCACACACAATTTCCACTTCCCTCTGTATGAAGCAGATTAGAACAAGCAGCTGAATTTTAATCAGGCTAGTAAAATACACAAGTTTTATAAACACCTAAGCTGTTTGTAAAAGTAGTGGAATTCCTCTTTTCTCCTAGCCTAAACACACCTAAAAAAAAAAAAAGAGACAAAAAATATTTTTTGAGAGTAATTAAAACAAACATAATCTCATAACTGCTTTTTTTTGTTACATACAGGAAGCCAAGGCAGGAGAGTATCTAAGGCCAAACTGCCTCTAACCAAACAACACAAAGTTTACAGTTCGCTTCGTGTGTCAAAGAAAGTGCAGATGAAACTTGGTGTGAAGGTTTGGTGTGCTACAACTCTGTCCTTGAATCCACGTTCCTCACTAATTAAGCCTTGGCTCAATGCTCAGTGTGGCATCTGTGTCACTGCAAAGTTCACATGCATACCAGCTTTAATTAGACCTTAATGGGTCACAGTGTCTGTAATTCCATGTCAGCGTCGGAACTGCTTCTGTGGTTACAGCTGTGCCACTTGTTTGTCTGCATTGTGTTGTTTTCTAAGGGTCCAGCCAGGGGCATGTGTGCTTTTTTTTATGTTCTCCTATGAATGGATGTGAATGTCAAGCACGGCGAGTGTGGCTTCGAATCTCAAAAGAAGCGCAGCTCATAATGGGAGAGACAACCTGAGAGGATCCTCGTTATGCTTGTCATTATCTGACAGCAGACAGGGAGATTGTTTGCGTCTGGCCTTTATCTCTTGCTCGGTCTGCTCTCGCCTCATGCACGCTGTCATTAAGGAGGATCAAAAAATCTGGCCCCCGAGGCAGCAGCAGGTAAGCAGGCAAACACAACAGAAGCACACTTCAGGGAGCCCGTAGCAGCCAGCAAATGGACAAAAGCAAAAACGAACACAGTGGAATTTGTCTCTCCATAAAAGATTCAAGAGACAACGTGCAGCGTTACTGGATGCCACCCTGCATCACTTTAACATGTAGGTTTAGGACATTCTTGAAAACAACCGACTAATGAAATGTCAGAATCTCTTTGAAAGCAGCGGAAGGTTTTCTCGTTGATTGCCTCTTCTCTAAATATAGTTGACCTGTTTGTTTTTGTGTGAGTCGCTTTATTTTTAACATTTGTTCATAAAAAGGAATGAAAAGAAACTTTTAGCATTTTCCTACTCTGTCATAATCTGCACGTTCAATGTCTGTGTTGTGATGGAGTTATAAACATGTGTCATATTTTCAAGTGGAATAGTGTGGAGCCGGTACCGACAGGCAATAGCTTCCATGCAGCATTCAGACATCTGAACGACTTCATAAAGTCCAATACTCAAAAATATATGTAGCAAAATAGGAAGTGTTTGTACACAGTCTGAGAAACTATCATTACGAAAATATGATGCAACATGAATACATTTTCTTTCTTTCAAGCTACGATGCTATTTTCTAGGTTTAAAATTAGATTACTCTTATTGGAGATGAACCTTCTGGCTACCCTTTCTGATCATATGTCACAGGAACGGGGTTAAAAGTTATTAATCAATACAATCTAGAGTGAAAACAATTGCACATCTTCAGAAATAACCATCTAACACCAAGTAGTCATTGTATTAAAATGTTGACACAAATAATGATGTTTTGCAAAATGGAGATTTTCTTTTTGTCGCCTCTCACTCACATGCAACCAAGTTTTTCAAAAACAACTTTGCTGTACTCATATGAACTGGGCATCCAAAGACTATTAAAACATTGAAGCAGAGTCCCACTTTGTATTTTTGACTGTAATTGTCAATGCAGTACCAGTGTTCAATATAGCAGTTGTGAAAAACTGTGGACTCAGTATGTTGTGGGAAAATAGGTAATGCACCGCAACAAAAACCAGTAAGAAGTTGCTAGAGCAGAACTGAAGATCACAGCTTTCTTTTTGCTAAATATTCTAGTTGAAGTCATTAAGAAAAAAAACGCCAAGCTTTAAATAGCAATTTGAATATTTTAAAATTGAAGACGTTGTGTTCAAATTCAGCTTGTTTACAGAGTAAATCTGATCTGTTTCCAGGTGTGGTTGAAACTCGCAGTTGATTAACATACTGGATTTATTTGCTTTATTGGTTATTTATGTTTATATTTGTTATTGGTTTCAGCCAATAAGATCAAAAGATCACATGACTTATTTGCATTGCCAACACATCACTCTACCCCATGCCTGTAATGGGCCATTGAAAAAGAAGACCCCGGCCCACACGTTCTAGGTAAATGCTCGCCTATAGACAACTTTTGCTGTCAGGGTAAATGCTGAGAGCTGAAAGGAGAATTTTCCACACTGCCGGGCAGCTGCAAACATTCTCCAGAGTACAGCGCGCAGACGGATTCTTTAGCATCAAAAAGAGATCAACAGGACAAGGACATCTTCAAGCCAGCAGGCGCACATCCGTACTTCAGATGTGCGCCTGTCGGCATCCACCAGAAAGATATCCGTAGAAAGAAAACATGGCAGAACCACTTATATGATTAGGACGTCTACAGCAACACCTTTTAGTTTCTGATGGGATAAGTTTCAGAACTTTTGTCTTTAGAACACTACAATACAAATAGCACGCCACCAGCATGTACATCTTAGTCTGTAATGAGTTTGATATGACGATGACCAGGCCAGAGGAAGAGAGTGAGCTGTGCTGACTATCTACATCTATTACCTGTAACACTTAGAATAAAAATAAAATAAAATTACATTGGGCTTTCCTCTGGCTGAAAGAAAGCATTGTCTAACATGCCGTACTTAATAATGTCTCGCGCTTATTTAGGGGGGTTGGGTCAAAAGATTCGATTCTTTTGACCGGCTCTTCACCCTAAGCCATAGTGGAGTCTCAGTTAATGACAGTTGCTCTTTGATTTTTACGACACTGGTCGACTACAATTCTCTGCACATGCGACAAAAGCTAATATTATTTTTATTTAATTTAACATACTGTTTAACATACTGTTTTAATCAGCAAATAAATACAAGACAAGGGTTTTTATTTTATAAAAAAAATATTTAACTAGCTCCTCTGGGAGAATGCCAAAGGCATTCTCCGGCAAGCTGAGAAACAGAGTCTCTCCAACGTGTATTTAGGCACAGTTTAATTCCACTGGAGTTCAGGATTCACAAAATAATTCATGACAAAGACTCACAAGACATACTGCCTTGTTGGAAAATGGAACAATAGACGAAAGCTACGAAACTAGATAAGCTCACTTTTGTCTGTATACCTTCCTATTCATATCACAGTCAATGTTGAGAGGGTGGAGAGTTATGCAACTTACATAACTTATATAAAGAGTATCAATAAAGTAAGACCAGATTCAACTTTGTTAATTAACGTTGAACTTATTTCTATTGTTTACTTTATCTCGAGTTGCATAGAGTTATACATTTATTAAGGGTCCAGTTCATAGATTTGGCAGGTTAAATTTGTTAAAGGGCAAGAGATTGGGGTTAAAAAATATGTACTATCCATAATGAGCAGTTCCATCAATTCCTCAACACTTCAGTCTCTGTATGTGTTGCCATCTGCCAATGACAAAGACCCCAGCCAATAGTGACACCGACATGTTCAGAAGTGGACAAATTCGGCTCTGAAAAGTTTCTGGTGAGACAAAACTCAGTAAAATGTGTGTATGACATCTCATGTCATTTTCTGTCCTTCTGACCAAAATGCATGTCAAAAGAAAAACACATGCTGAAATCAACTGATGTGTTTCATTTAAAAAATGTGTGTGCATGGCGACCGCTAAGCTCCTTCTGAGGGGTCATATCACTTTCAAGAGACACAGGAACATCAAAGCATGAATGTGAAATATATGAACAATAAGCTGTTTTGCATTGTAAAGGATCATATGAAACATTTGATTGGATTGGACGCGACTGCTGTGACATTTTATTATTTTTTTAAAATGTATATTTAAAACCAAGCTGAATAGAAATGGCAAAAAGATAAGGAAGCAGAGCAAAATATATTAAAAGATGGATCTACCTGGCATACAGTGGGTGTCACTGATCAAAAACTGGGTGAGGTACCAGAGGTCAGTGATTCGTACATCAAGCTTCTAAATTTATCACTCTGTTTTCTTTTTCGCTGCCGCCAGAAGGGCTCAACCTGAGTTGTGAGTCACATTTTGTTTTCCTCACTTGCTGTGATTCTGCCGCTGCCTATTTAGTGTCGCTGAGATTGAAATCTGTCTCACAGTGGAGCTGGCCAAGTAGATTAGATTGAGAGGAACACCGCAACCTGACTGCTAACAGTAGGTTACGGTGCATGTTAGCTATGTAATCAATTTTGAATTTGTAAACTTTTGAAGCTACTTTTTGAAAGAACCAACACAGAACGACAACTTTTTTTTTTGTCCTTGGAAAAAAAGCATAAATTCAAAAACTTGATCCAGTAAAACTGATAAGCAAAAATTGAGAGGGTTGAAAATAAAACTGAGAGTATTCAGAATAACAATAAAAAAATACATGCTGTTGATAAATATCCAACCCCTTTGCCAGGGCCTTTATACTTTTAAATCAATGTAGGAGAAGAATTATTGCTCTTTTAGTTATTTTAGTTCCAGAACTGAAGCCCTTCATTTGCCCCCAAGGTATTTTCTCTCCCACCACCTTCTTTTCCCTATTGTTCTCCCAGGTTCTCGCATTCGTGCCGCCATTGATCATGAGCCGTACCTTAATGTGCTGATACTCCTTCTCCTCCTCTTGTAACACCTCCAGCTGCTTCAGAACAGATTCCTGCTGGAACTCTCCTCGTTCAACCTACACAGACATCAAGTAAAGTATATTAAGAAACGGAGCCGTTTCCGAGGCTCCTGCGCTCACAGTAAAAGAAAAAAAAATGTTCTGAAGCAAACTGGTTTAACTTTTATCACTTGTTCTTCTTTTTTAATATCAGTCAAACATGCTACACCTTCACTCAGGGCTGCCAGGCGGTATTAATAATTCATCCATGAATATCTTTTATTTATCTTTACAAAATGCAGCTATGTGAGGTAGCTGAGTTCAATTCTCTGCACTCACATTTAATGCAGTCTGCAATGCAACTCGAAAACATTAAAAACTAACAGCAAGACGACCAAAGTTAAAGCTCAAAAGAAGAAGTACTCTACTGAGCCAATAAGACATGTAGATAGGAAATCTCTGAAAGGAACACACAGTGTGCACCGTTATATGTCGACTGTGGTTTGCTCCTTTCATGCAACCGACAGTACACAACGAAAAAAAATCATTCCCGGGACTAAAACACAGCCTAGATGCCTTTTTTCCACGTCCATTACTCATGAAATAATTTATTCCACGGAAAACAACACAACCAGCCGTAGCGTTCATTCATTATTTAGTTGTCGGCCCTGAAAGGACATGCAGATGCAAAACAAAAGGAAAAAAAATAAAATAAAAGCTGACAACTTCTTTTTGCAAACAGAAAAAAAAAGAAGGAAGTGTAAAGTAAGTATGCTGTGACACTCACACTCACCATCAGCTGTTTCATGGAGTTGTGTTCTTCATTTTCCCGGGCCGCGTTGTGGTCTTTGTGCACAATCTCCACCCGGATGTCGTTCTTTGCAGACACGACTCCCTTCAGATCTGCCGTGAACAGACAGCGCAAACAACGCACCTTAATGAGCTGCGACAAATGGCAATCTGTATTTGTTGACAGAATAATTTGCACCGTTGTAATATTTAGCAGAGACACCCCGGGTTTGCTCTGTTAGAGCGCACCCATTTCCCGAAAAACAACACAAAGCATTATTAATCACATTGTTTCCCTGCCAACACAAGATTATCTTTTCTCTTTACAGAAATGAAATCTGCAGTTTCCCCAACGATGGCTCATTCTGTTCGGGACAAAGCGGATGTTATTCTGTCATATAACAAGGTCTTACTTTCTGTCTTAATTTTGCTTGCAACTTCTCTCTGGTGAGCACAGATGGAGACGGGCAGTGAGGGCATAACCAGGTGCACTTCCTCTGTAGTATACAGACAATAGACATGCTGAAGGGACCAGTAGCACACAGCGTGGTTTTTTGGATAGAGGCAGCAACTGACTGCCTCTAACTAACTTGAGTCACTTGGTTTATGGGCGGGTGGCAGCAAACAAAATGGAAGATGTACAGAGCCTCCACAGCAAGTGCAGGCCAGACTGAGATTGCATGAAATGAGTCCTGATCGCAATCTGGCTCTTTCTGCACCACCAAACAAACAAACAAACAAACAAAACATCCATCTTGACCAGTGATTCATCTTGTGATAATTGTGTTGAATCTTTTTTTAAAAACAAATCTTTTGGGTTATTTGTATTGCACTGATTTTATTTTATTTTATTTTATTTAAATCAAAGCAATATCTACACATGCAAACAAACGTCTTGGCACCCCAGGGAAAAAATGTTAAAAAGCCTCAAGATAAATTCATGTTTTGTTAAAGCATAATCACTGACAAACGCAGAAAGAACCTACCTTTGACTTGATTACATTTATTCAGTGGGAGGAAAGCGACCAAACTAGCTTTAAACAAAATTGGCCTTGGCACAATTATTGGTAGCCTTAACAATAATTTTTCATGGAATGCAATGAAATTTCTATGAGTATTCAACTACATTTTGTTTTCTTGGGGTATATATATATTTATATATACCCGATATATACCTCTAGACAAACTGAGCAGGGTGGTGAAGGAGGTGCCTTCAAAGTTCATTCTTAGAGAAGTGCAGAAAAGAGTGGCGTCTTGGGGACAGTAGATCTAACGACTGTTAAATACTGTTTACACGCCTACCAGTTGTTCAGGAGTTATCTAAAGAAATAAAAAAGAAAAGTGTTTTCTGTTTTACCATCACCAGCCCTAAAATGCTGAGTCTGCTAAATGCTTATGTACCTGTGCTCTTAATCAAATGAGACTAAGATTTAGCTTAGAGCTACTTTTGGGTCTGGTGTGAAACAACGATTAATATGTGAAAAAGCACCTCAAGCTAACAGTTAGCTAAGGAGGAGGAGCTGTGATACATTTGTCTTTGCAGTTGTAGGAGATTGTAAGAAAAAAAAAAACTGTAATTGGACTGAACAATAGGGCTTTTCTGGTGGTACAGACCACTCAAAGGAGCCTGCATTATGAGTCTGTTTCACCCCGCCATGTTGTTTGGACACTTGTATACCAATCCATAGCTTAAGGTTAATTGCATTTCCTAAGGCAATTAAGAAGTAGCAATGTAACCACAGCTTTCCAACTGCAACATGACGACCCTACCTAGTGATTAACAGCTGCCACTGTCTGGGAGATGCTACTAGAAAACCAAAAACATAGTTTCTGTTTTTCGTTCAGCAGGATAACGAAATTCATAAAACAGTGGTTCACCAGATACTACATCAAACTTCTTGCGTTCCCATTTTACTCCTTATACCTAAATCTAATAGAAAACTAGATGGCTCAATGGGTACAGCATGTGCACCGTATGCACAAGCTGTAGTTCTCAACGCAGTTGTCCTGGGCTTGACCTCTGGTCTCAGGTCATTTACATTATTTCTTATCTTTCTTTCTCCCATTTATTTTCTGTCTATTTACTCTTCAATGAAGGCCATTAAAGCCTAAAAAAATGTGTGAGATTAGCTGAACAGAAGAGATCATAAGAGAGCCAGGACTTTGGATAGTCTGGAGAGATAATGTAAAGAGGAATGTCAGAGATCCTTCTCTCTGTATCCTTGTGAAGTCTTATAGCATGATGCCACCAGTAACAATTATTCAATTAGATTTTTCTCCTCACGGAATAAAACTGTGGAAATGAAAAGATAACTTTTTTCCAGTATATTCCACTATATAAAAAAATAAAAAAATAAATATTTGTTCAAGAAAACCAGAATTTATTTTTAGGCTTTTTACATATCCATTCTGGAGGCGACAACACATTTGCCCCCATCTATAAATTTAAACAGATGGACATTTTTTTCCAGAATGCTCAGGCACAAAACCGCACTCTGGCATGCATGCTTTGGTGGAGACAAAAGCATAAAGGAGACATACTTCTCTGGGAGCGGGTGCAGCAGAACGCGCTGATGGTGCCCATTAGGACAATGAAGGCGACGAAAGCTCCCACGGCGATGCCGATGATCACAGCCACTGGGAGAGATTCTGTAGAAAGCAACATCAAGACATGTCCTTCTATAATACAGCGCCACAAATATCACACATTCATACCGAACATTGGACATGGCAGGAGAGCGCGTGATATCAAACAGTCATTGTGAAGATGGTTTCTTTGGCTTATTTTTAATTGTCTGCGGCAGCACGTTGTAGAAATAGACGAGAACAATGTTGCAAATAGGAAGCCGTACGCTCTACCAGCAGCAAATCCAAACTAAAACTAATTACCGTGGGTAAACATTTTCCTCTTATTTTCTCACTGTCCGGTCTGATAAAATTTAATTTACACTCAGTCGGGCTACTAGGACCATTTTACATAGTGCTGTAATTTTCATTGAATAGAGTGGAAGCGTTTCTGCATCCATTTAAGGATAATCATGTTTGTGCGCTCTGGAACAGATCATTGCATCTGGGAAAAGACTGAACCAGAGGGCATGTATTTATAGGCTGTTGTGCAAGTAAAAGGTCCCAGTACACATTTATGAATATCTTCTGTTTTAAGCAAATGCAAAATAATAGGTGATCATTTAACAACATAAAAGCACTTATTCACTTTTTATTTATATTTACAATGTGCTATTAATTGTTTGCAAGAAGAGACTAGAAGAAATGTGACTTTTGCTATACTGGAGAGAAAAAGAATGGTTATATTTCTTAGAGTATTAAAAAATATGCAGCTTCATTAAAAATGCTTCAGCACTGCCTATCTATGCTTCTCTGTAGTAGCATATGCAATTCGATTTTCAGCCAATCCAGGCTCCCATGACTCCCACAAACTTTTTGTTGAACAAGTGTTTGTTGCAACGCTGACATAATATACATAAACCACCAAATGTCATCCTTAGGCTGATGAAAGCAAAAGTTCATATCAGCCTTTGCACTAAAAATAATTGTCTTTCCTCCGCATGCTAAAAGCTTGGAGTAGCCCTAATTGATAGCAGCCCAAAATACTATATAATCGATTAAGCTAATATTTATTACAACACTTAAGAAAAGAAAAAAATAATAACAAAGAAACAGCTAAAATCCTACCATCTTCATCCTTATTTACCTCTGCTATTCGAAACAGGGTCTTGTTATATTTATCAAAGGTCTTTGTTTTAGTTTTTTTTTTTATTTATGAAATTCTAATTTTCTCACATCTAAACTCATACACATGTTTTGATGTTTTGATATGCAGCCATACCTTGAAAAGGTAGGGACAAGCTGACAGGAACTGTGCTGAACTCTGAAGATTAACTTTTAAACAAACAAAATATAAAACATATTGATTTTTTTTAATATATGACGGCATCACTCTCGCACTGTATATTCACAAATTCAGTCGTTCAGATGGAATCAACCACAGCGATACATACAAAATATTACAGCTGACAGACTACCTACAGCTACTAGACACCAACGAGCACTGCATATGAAAAGAGGAAGGTGGAACCTGTCGAACCTTGGCTCCCACCTTGTTCCTTAAGGCGTATGATCTCTGTGTCAGAGCCAAAGCTGTTCCACGCTGTGCAGTTGTAGATGGTCTGAAAGTCGGCTGGGACGATGTTGCTCATGGTGAGTGTTGAAATGACTCCCTCCTCCGTGTTGACAGTCTCCACAGTGTAGCGGCCAGAGGTTCCAGACTCCAGAACCGTTTCCTTCCATGACCAGGCCTGATAAAATAGTTGCAGGGGTCACTGACAGGACTTGATTCAAAATGAATGTAGAAATCCAGTGTAAGTTACAAACACATAAAAACAGAAGAGCGAAGATGAGCCAAGGTTTTCTTAACCACTGGCCTTCATACTTTCCCAGCAAAGGTCAATCTGCAGATTATCTTTTGATCTTGCTATATATTAAAACACATTTTGAAGTGCCATCTTTTAATACATTTTCTAAAATGTAAAACAATGTCAACCTCACTATATATGTGCTTTGTAGATTCATAGCAAATTTAAAAGTGGTCCACACTTTTTAAAAGGTGATTATAGCATTTTCCTCTTTGGCTGCAAGAAACCATGCCATGGATGGATGGATGGATGGCTGGCTGGCTGGCTGGCTGGATGGATGGATGGATGGATGGATGGATTTTCTTCTTCTCTACATGATCGTCCGACTTCAACTTCCTAGTAATCACTTTTAGATACATTATGTGTTTCTTCACTTGAGAAAACCTGATGTACCTTTGAAGACTTTTTGCATGTTTTTACAATGACTATTTCCATGGGTTTTTAGAAGAATTTGAATTAAGACTTGTACTACTCTTTGCCTATCGTTCTGTGAAATGTGTTTTTCTTGTGATGTTCTTGTGATGGTACTAAAATGAGCATTTAACAACATAAGTGTAGCAAATTATTGCCTTGATGAATTTTCTATGTAAACAAAACAAAAGCACATTGCAGGGTGCACTGCGTGGTGTCACAATCGACAAAAGAAACATTTATTTGAGGGGGGGTTTGTCATCTCAATAAGTAGTTGTGTATGTCACAGAAGTTGACAGTGATAAGACTTAAAAAGAAGCAGTCAGTGCGCTTTAGACTGGACAACCTATAAAAGCTAGTTGTGGCTTCTGCTGGTTCAAACACTTGTAAATATTAGAATATTAATAAAATCCTTCTAGTGGAGTATGCTTATTGAGGGAAAAAAGTATGTTGTGTCCATTTGTTTACTTGCCTGTTCAGTAATCTGACTTTATTAATCCTAATCAGATTTAATGTAAAATGTATGTAGTCTTCCCACTCTTTAAATAGACGAGTTTGAAGTCCCTGCAAACTACTGTTTATTTGCACAGACAAACAAACAGTAGTTTTTGTCTGTGCAAACAAATTACTTTGTTTTATTATTTACACGGCAGAGAGAGAGAAAAAAGCATGGTTTAAAGAAGATGAAAGAGTCAGAAACAAAGTTTATATTTGAATAAAGACAACTGGCCCAGACTGAAAAAAAAAGAAAGAAAAAAAGATTTAGTACCTTATTTGCTGCTTTATGACAAGACATCCATTTAAAAAATGAAACACTTTCAGTGTTTGGACCTTGTTTAAACATTTTCTAACCAGCGGCTTTATGAATTCTCTGAAACAAACGTTTCCTCGCAGCTTATTCTTATTAAATAATCTGACATAAAATGCATAATATTTGGTATAGTAAAGTATTACAAATGATGCTCAAAAATCACAACATTAATACTGTAGATTAATGCCCCCTTTTTTAAACAACTTGAAAATCTGGGGATTTTTACCTTTTTATATTTATTTTATATCAAAGTTTCATATGAGATAAGAGATATTTTTTGTTCTTGGTTTGCAATGACAGTGAGGAATGTTTGAAGCGTAAATGTGATGAAAAGCGTAAGTCAACCTAAATGTACTCACAATGCGGTCCGGTGGAGGCGTACTTCGAATGAAACATTTGATTTGACCTTTCTCTCCATGTAATGCTTGCTGAGTCTGTGTGCTGGATATGGTAGGTGGCCCTGAAACAAAAAAAATAAAAAAATAAAAAAATAAACACACAGAAATTGAAACATGAATATTTAAAGACATTTTCAGTTCCAGGTCATATGATAATTCTGCTCAATTAGGTTCTTGCTGGTAGATTAGACTACAAAATGTCTTCTGTTCCAAGCAGTGACTGCTGAAGTACTCACTAATTCAAGACTCCCAAGACAGATTGGATCTCTGTGTAATGCACATGTCTCATCCATGCCTAACAGTTTTACCCCAGATGGATTGAATCAGGTAAATAGTGAGCTAGACCTCAGTGTGGATCAAGAATGCGCTAATACATTCCATGCTTGATTTTTCCAAATGTGATAAACGCTGTCCTTTGGAGCATAATGTAGAATGATCAAATAAAATTAGACAATACCGTTGTTCTTATCACGTAGCCTGCTTTTCAGTGTCCCAATACAATCATTTTGCCTCCAACAGAGCTTAACCCTGCACGAGCAGGTCACTAAATAAAGCTTCACAAATCTGAGCTTTTTTTTGTTTTTTTGTTTTTGTGAATGCAAATAAATAAACACTGTTTATTTGAGATTCCCTTTTTTTAGCTGTGCTATTTGTTTTGTCTAATTCATATTAACTAATGACACACTAAATAACAGATGTGTCTGATAATAAGCTTGTTAAATCAACAAGAGCAACTGGCAAGGGCTTCAAGCAGCTGGATCTTCAGCTTTGGTCCAGGTACAAAACCTCACCAGACAAGGGCAGCTCAGCCTAAGCGGCTGGACTGCTCACCATCTGGCCAGGAAGATGCTCACACCAGGTGACAGCAATATGCAGACAATCACATCCAATCTATTCCATCATTCAGGTGAGTTCACAGTTGATCGTCAATGTGTTCAGTAGAGTAAAATTGTAAAAAAAAAATATATAAATTACATTTGTTTAAAGGGGGATCTTAATGAGTTGGAATATCCTTGTTAAAGTCCTTCACTTCAGTCAATTAATTCAAAAAGTAAAACTCATGCACTGATTCATTTTACAAGACTGATGTACTTCAGGTGATTGACAAATGATTATAATTTACAGCAAATCAAAACAAAAAATTAATTCCTCAGAAAATGTTAATGATACATAAGACCTAAAAGAAAAAGGATTTTTAATGTAGAAATGTCTCCAGTTCAAGAATAGCTAACCACGAGGAATGCAACAGTTGTTGCCCACGGTCTTGATACACACGTGGGGGCTTTAAACTCTGGCCCCAGTTGCAATCAACACCGTGTGAGCCTTTACGATAGACTTAGTTTCACAACCCCGTGAAGCTTGTTGTTATGCTTGTTGGTTGTGCGCTTTTTTGGGCCACAATTTTTCTTCCATCCAACTTTCCACTAAATGTCCTCTGAGTCATTAAATGTCCTCTGAGTCAGTACTCTTTGAACCGGCAGCTTCTTTAACCACGACCTTTTGTCCTACAGTCTCTTCTTTTCCTATTTTCTAACCTATTAGAAAAAAGGAACCACTTCAATTTTATATTTAGAGTGGTTCAAATTTAAAATTGAATCACTTGAAAACCCCCCCCAAAATATTTTACTTTTTAACTTGAATTAGTGAAATAAATGAACTTTTCAACCCTGTTCTCTAATGTAGTATGTGTCCCATCTGTTACTTGGATGTATTTTTTTCTGCTCTTATTTCTGTCTTTCTGTCTTTCCACCACCAGTTTGACACGTCTGAGTTATCTACCAAAGTAAGTAACCCAACTTGTCTGACATTATTAGGTATGGCAAAAACAATGTAAATATGGAATCTTATTTAACCAAATACAGTGTGAAGATTCTGTTTTTGGGGCTTGATTAAAGAAGATACTGAGGAAAAACCAAGAATGATCCCAGCTTTTGGTATCTAATAACAGAAAAGTTTCCACATAAGAGGATCCCATTGTCCTGAAACCCAGGTCAAACCAAACGTTATATCACATATGAGACGGTTAAGGTTAAGGATGTGGTTTAACGTGGGGGGTAAGCAAGATAGATTCTTGATCAGCAAGATAACTCACATCCCTGCCGACTTCCTCAAACTCCTGCTCCTTACCATCTCGCCGACGATACATAATTGCAGTTTATTACCTGTCTCTTATTAAAATGAATTAGCATTTTAATGAGACTTTGCCAGATGGTGTCTTGGTATCCTTCTGGAGGATGCTGTAACGCTGCTACTGCTGCATGCTGAATGCTGCAGACAATCTATGATAAATACACCAAAAGCTGATCCTCTTCCTCAACAAGTTTACCTGCACATACAGAAAGTATATGCTACTGTCTACAATACATGATGTGTTTGACAGGTGTCATTTACATGCATTACCTCCTGATTATAAAATTGAATGTACATGGTTAGCATTAACTCCAGTTGTCTGCAAGATCAATTGCTTTGTTGGTTTTAATGGCTGGGGAGGATTTATTCTATGGATCTGAGCTGCAAATTAGGTATATAATTAGATATCTTTATCACACAGGCTGGGTTAAAAGAGTTTGCGTGTGTGTGTGTTATGAATGCATGTGTTTGCTACTTGCACTGTCTGATCAGAGCACAAACATGTTCATAATAGGGAGGTGGGTGGCACTACAACATCAATGCTAGGCAGCAGGGAAGGTAATCAAAATGTTAGGTGCAATGTTTTCCTCGCTCATTTGAGGAGGTGTTGCCTCAAGAGTGGACGTTGCAAGCTGATTACACAATATCAGTGTGGGTGTCAAAATGCCACAGCTAACATTTCCTTCCCTTAAGTTAGACATTTGCTTGACATTTCCCCCTCTGCCTCCGTGTGGTTCTAAGGATTTCTATGCACTTATTTTCCTTTTTTTTTTGCAAAGGGGAAAAAAAAAAAAAAAAAAAAAAAAAAAAAAAAAGGGGGACTGTTAATTTTTTTTCCCTTTAAAGCCATTTTTTTCCCTGAGGGGTTTTC